TTTGTTACCTCTTTCTGTCAATTTCATTTGTTATTAGGATACTATTAGAAAAACTTAATCAAAGTCAAGTGGTTGCGTCTTTGGACTTGGTTAAAATCTTGATCACCAATCATGTGGGATATCTTAATGACTGCAGATTCGGAACGAGAAGGCCAGAAGGTATTTAAGTAGCATGAAGAAAAAGAAATCAGTTCCTCTCTCGCAAAAAATCCCGAATGCAGATCCATTGGCTCTTCGTTTACTTGAGCGTTTGCTTGCATTTGATCCTAGAGATCGTCTTTCTGCTGTAGAGGTAAGATTTTTGTGAAAACAACTGTTTGCCATAATTTCGTTTCTTATGTTTCCTGATAAAGGTCATTGCTTTCTTTTCAGGCACTAGCAGACCCATATTTTCATGGATTGGCAAATGTGAACCAGGAACCATCTAAACAACCCATTTCTAAGCTCGAGTTTGAGTTTGAAAGGAGTAAATTGACAAAAGATGATGTAAGAGAGCTAATTTACAGAGAGGTATGGCTATAGTTAGTGATGCTTTGCTTCAGTGCATTATTCTTCACTTCTTGTTGTTGGTAGTTTTCTTTCCTTACCATCTACTCATGGTGAATGTTCTAAAGCATTCAGATTTTAGAGTATCATCCGAAGATGCTGCAAGATTACCTTCAAGGGTCAGATAATATTGGCTTCATGTATCCAAGGTCAGCCTTTGTTCCTAGATCTGTGATTTCTAGAAGGTGCATACGCATGTGCACATCATATTATGTGATTTATTTTGCTTTAAAAAAAAAATTTAATACTTCTGTTAAGTATCCATGTGAAAATGTATAATGGAAATGCATCTCATGTCCACCAGTGGGGTTGATCGGTTTAGACGACAATTTGCCCATCTTGAGGCACACTACAGTAAAGGTGAAAGAAGCACTGCACTTCAAAGGAAGCATGCTTCGTTACCAAGGTAAAATTGGTTTTTTCTTTGGATTCTACTCGTTTTTTATTTTATCATCTTCATTCACAAGATTGATGGCTTTCCATTCTTTTGCACAGGGAACGAGTATGCCTGTCCCAGGATGAGGCTGCGGAGCAAAATGGTAATGCTAAGAAGAGTGCTGCAGCTTCAGTGGGTCGTGCAGCTATTCACAGCCCTCCAAGGTCCAAGGGGTTTGAAGTAGCAGAATCTGTTTGTGAAAATGGATCAACCATACCGAATGGCCTCAGTAAGCCAAACTATAGTCCCAACAGTCTGTTGAAGAGTGCTAGCATTAGTGCCTCTAAGTGCGTGGCTGCAAACAGACAGTACTGTGAGGTAAGTCCTAGATTTTTTAGTATGTTCGGCACCTCTCAGTTTTCATAGTACTATCTGTAAGTAATCTGTGCTTGTATAACCCGGCAGGAAGATAGAACGGCAGAGCGAAATGACGAGATGATCAATGTCGTTGCATAGAGGATAGCAGCAGCATATCACTGGTATTATACTACTGATAAGATAGCCTACGAGGGCATGGCTTCATTTTGTTGCTGGGCCTAAAGCCATTTTGTGGGTGCGTGGATAATTTATGACATTTACCACCGAATGTTGGTTTTTCTTTTTTGCTTAAGGCTCTAGGCATATACCACTCACTTTGGCTGTTATACTCTTTGTAAACCTATATCATGATTTGTTCTTAAACCTATATTATTTTATATCTGAGAGCTGTTAACTACCTCGACTTTGCTTCATCCTATGGATTCTCAGTTTTACACCATTTCCTTTCTCAAGCAAAGTAACGTAATTTGATTGGACTTGCTGGCCTTTGACTAACATGCCAAACATAGAACATGTTAATTTTTTTTTTCTTTGGACGAAAAACATGTTAATCAATTTAAGAAACTAACACAAGAAGCTATAGATTCTGCACAATGATTTGGAGAGTACAAATAGCCATTATTCATTAATGCACTCTCATTCAACAAACAGTAGGAAAGAATAACAGAAATCTATAGAGTTTTTGGTGCCCCATGATTAAAACCAAGTAATATAACAACAAAGTTGATCAAAGTTCAGGCATTGCGCATTCATCTGCTAGTAAATCCTCGCATTTCAATGGTTGGCATCATATTTACTTCAAATATCACCAAGGGCAACTTTAAGTTTCAAGAGATATGGTATGAGATTTTCAACTCATAATGGCAACCAACAGGAAATATCTTCTATCCACTTCCATCAAGCTGTCCATGAGATAGAAGGTGTGCCATGTATTGCTGCAAACAAGTTAATAAAAATGAACAAGTTAAAGAACACTCTACGAATGAACTTCCATTCTATGCAACCCAATAAAAATGAGAGGTAGCTTCTGAAAATGAGAAATGCTGAAAGCAGATGGATACTCGGAAGACACTAATCAGATGTATAACCATGTACTCCGAAGAGCACAAAACACCAACAACAGAAACTCTGTGCATCAACATAGCAAATGATACAAGAAAAACAAAATATCGAACTGTAATTAGCAATTCAAATTCAAATTTCATGAAAAAACAAACCATACCCTCATTCAAAAGAAACAAAACCAAGCAAATGCAATCCAAATTATTCACTTGGGAAAGTGAGCTATAATTGATTAAGTAAAGTTGAGTAACTTACGGCATGGTACGCATAGGGTGTTTTACCCTGTCGTTCAAAGTGTTTGGCCATGATGCAATACTCAATGGGACCCCACTCTTCGTTTTCGAAACAATTACCAAGAGCAGCTTTATACAACTAGCAAAACCCCAAGAATTCAAGTATCATATCGAAGACGAAGCCAATACGAATCAAATCAAACACATTGAAAACTTAAAAAGTATAAGCCCTTCATGTTCTGATAATCAGAGTTCTCACGTACCTTTGCTGTGTCCGTCAAGAGCTCGGTTCCAGCTGGGTAAGACGCATAGAATTGGTCGCCTCTGGAAAACCCAGCTCTGGTTCTGCAACACCAAACACAACAACGGAAAAAAACATGGATGGAAAATGTTAAGAACAGCATGGGGTTCAAAACCCAGATAAGTGTTCCCATTTCATATGCGTTTAAGGTTGTAAGTGACTCACGTATTGCTTGTGTAAGCGTAGCTCAAGACTGCTGTGAAGCAGTAGAATCCAGCATATGAAACAATTCGCCTGAACTTCTGAATCTTTAGAATTTCTTTGACGCCATCGTACAGCCTCATCATGAGTTGTGACTATAAATTGAGTACTTGAAAGCCAAAACGTTTGGGCAATTTCAGCTAGACAGTTGATCAAACAGGTGGTGTGGCTTCCGGGCGTCGCTGGAAGATTAGGCAGATGGAAAAATGGGGAAATATTAAAGAAACTTGGGCTTAGCCCACATATGTTTCTTTCCAGGGTTTCAAACCCACCTGGGCCTAAACCAGTTCCCAAATTACTGCGAATGTTTCTGTGTAAAAGCAAAAGAAAAGTTAGGAAATAAAAAACTAAGGGTTAATTACGTAAAAGTACCCAATCTTTGGAAGTAGTTTCAAATTAGTACCCAACCTTAAAAATCTTACACATAAATACCTAAACTCACAAAAACGTACAAATTACCGTTATTAAAATATTACAATAAGACATGTGAGTCAGAAGAACATCCTCCCATTCTACTAATTAGCGTGTTCGTCTTTTTGTACTTAGGTTCCAATCATCTTCCTATAAATTTCAAAATAATTTAGACTACAGTTCCTATCCAAAAACAAAAAAATATTGCAATGCGTTAAGCCCCATGTACTAATAATATATGGGCATGACAATAATGTAGCGCATATGCATGTGATATACCGGCTCTAATGGAGTCAACGATCCGCAAACTCCTTTTGAAGCTTATTCTCCTCCTCTCCGTTTCGGGGTTCTTATTGTTTCAACTTTTCCCTCTAGCCTTCCTTCTTCACATCCCACCCTTATCATCACCAACCTTCATTATTAGTTGTAATCCAAGCTCTCTATTTCCTAAAGAAGCTTATCCCACCAAGTCGGGCTACCTCCCGGTCAATTCCACCACATCTTCTTCTATTTTCTACACCTTCTATGAAGCTCAGAGCCTCCTCTTACCCGATCTCTCACAAACCCCACTCATCATTTGGCTCCAAGGTGGCCCTGGCTGCTCCTCCTTGTTTGGTAACTTCATGGAGATCGGTCCTTGGTACGTCAACCTTCACAATCATCATAATCATCGTCAGCTACCATCTTTTGTGCTCGAACCCAACCCCGGTGCTTGGAACAGAGTTTTTGGCCTTCTTTTCCTTGACAATCCAATAGGAAGCGGATTTAGCATCGCCTCAGAAGCTGAAGAAATCCCAAGAGACCAACTTGCAATTGCCAAACACCTCTACATTGCCATCACCAAGTTTATTGAACTTGACCCAATATTGTTCAAATCTCGTCCTGTTTATATTGCAGGCGAGAGCTATGCCGGCAAGTTTGTGCCAGCAATTGGATACTATATATTGAAGAAGAATGATGAGTTAATGATGCCTGATCATGATCATGATCAGTCTCAGATTTTAATTAATTTAGGTGGCGTTGCTATTGGAAATGGGTTGATAGACCCAGTGACTCAAGTGGCCACTCATGTGACAATGCTTACTTCTCAGGCTTGAACAATGAGAGGCAGAGGATTGAGTTGGAGTGGTATCAGCAGGAGGCAATCAGGCTGGCCAAAATGAGGCACTGGAGAGAGGCAACAAATGCAAGACATCAGGTGGTGGATATGTTGCATTACATGACAGGGCTGCCCACTCTGTACGACTATTCAAAGAAAGCTCCTTATCACAAAACCCAATGGGTTACTGACTATTTGCACAATCAAAGGGTCAAGAAAGTTTTGGGGGTGAAGGAATCAGCTGTGTTTAGAAACTGTAGCCATGTGGTGAAGATTGCATTGTATGAAGACAACATGAAGAGTGTGAAATACATGGTGGAATTGTTGGTGAAGAGGAGCAAGGTTTTGTTGTACCAGGGGCAGTTTGACTTGTGGGATGGTGTATATTCGACTGAGGCTTGGGTGAAGACCTTGCAATGGGAGGAGATTGGAAATTTTCTATCGGTGGATCGAAAGGTTTGGAAAGTGAATGGGGATGAGCTTTCTGGGTATGTGCAGAAATGGGGGAATTTGAGCCATGTTGTGGTTTCAAAGGCAGGGCATCTTGTGCCTGCTGATCAGCCATTGAATTCTCAGGCAATGATAGAAGGCTGGATTTTGGAAACAGGGTTGTTTAGCAATGTGCAATCTTGGTTTCCCTGATGGATGATATATTATTGTAAAAATTCAATGGTTATTATAGTACGCTTGCTCAAATACTTCTGACCAAATGTATATGAGAAGTTGAGGAAATTTTAGTAAATAATCACCTCAGTTTTATTTATACAAATTTATAAATAAACCCAATCCTAGACATGTATTTATAAAAAAATCCAAGTACTATTTAAACATAGAAACACACCCAAAATCAACCATAAAGTCAACTTTTTGGGTGTGTTTATAAATGGGTTTTGAGTGTGTGTAATGATGGGTTTTGGGTGTGTTTATATGTTTAAATAGTGCTTGGGTTTTTTTATAATTTCAACCTCCATTTTGGGTGTTTTAGTGAAACTCCCTTTTATTTATGGATCTTCGTTAATCAATTAAATTAAAATCCTAGCTAATAACCACAACAAATGGATGGAGCCCAAGGAAAATTCTATGTTACTTTGTATTTTGTACAGTTGTACGGTACGACTTGTAACCAAACAATGCCCTTGTTGAGGAGGATGAGAAGCCAAAGTAACGTTAACTTAGCTACTGCTAAAGAACAACATACGAAACCTCCAGAGTGGCCCAATGGTTTGTCCATCATTTGGCTAAGGTTCTGAGATTCGGTTGAGTTTGCTCTCCAGTTTGACTCCTAGCAGTCGCAACATCTGATGGCCAGTGACAGACTCAATTCTGTGAATGGGGATTAGTCGAGGTGTACTTACCAAAAACAAAAAAAACAACAACATACGATATATATTAGGGGTGGTTGCGGTTCGGTAACCGCGAATTTGTGCCCAAACAGCAAATTGACCGACTATTTGCGGTATAGTGATTTTTGAAACCAAAAAGCGGTCAGTTACCGTGAATTAACAGTTTAAAACTGGAAGTTCTTTTTGTGTCATAAAAATCCAATCTTCCACATTTTAGGCCTAATTTTGATGCTTCTTTTGAAGCCTTTTGATTTCAAGCACACTTTAACCCAAAAATATAAATTCACAACCTCAACTTCTCAAGTATATATAAATTCTCAACCTCCTCAACTTCTCAAACATTCCAATGCTAAATCCTTTAAAGTTACAAACCAAAAGGAAAATGCAATCCAAAATGAATTAAAGTTACAACCCAAATGAAAAATCCAATTCAAAGTTAATTAAAGTTACAAACTAAAAGGAAAATGTAATGCATTAATGTTACAAATTAAAGTTACAAACTCAAGTGTTGGTGGTGGTGAGTGAATTTGAAGGACCCCGTTGTGTTGTTTGAGCACCAATGCTATATACAAAATGCAATTTTTATTTATTTATAAATATAGTCGCAGTTTGCAGTAACCGCATGTTTTGAAAATCAAATACCGCAACCGCAAATGAGGTGTGGTTTCATGCGCAGTTCCATTGTAGTAAATTATCGATTGATTTTTACGATTTTTCGATCTAAAATACCACCCCTAATATATATAATATATTTATTTGGCGTCATGTACTTTGAAGATACCGCATTACAAAAACCACAATATTCGTTTTACTGTTCTCGCCAGTCGCCACGTGTGATGTAAAGTCCACTTTCTCTCCTTACTCATCTATATGATTAATCCGACGTTGTGTCTCAACAGTCTTCAATCATCAATGGAGTCAACAAAGCTCCTCCTCTTCTTCTTCTTCTTCTTCCTCCACCTCATCACAGCTTCATCATCATCACAACCTCTGTTCCCCAAACAAGCTCATCCCACCAAATCAGGCTACCTCCCAGTCAAACCTACCACAGGCTCTGCAATTTTCTACACTTTCTATGAAGCTCAGAACCTCACAATCTCACCCGATCTCTCTCAAACCCCACTGCTCATTTGGCTCCAAGGCGGCCCTGGTTGCTCCTCCATGATCGGCAACTTCTTCGAGCTCGGGCCATGGCGTGTAAATTTTAACAAACACCCTTCTGAGCCCCTTGCTCTGGAACCCAATTCTGGTTCCTGGAACCGAATCTTTGGCCTGGTGTTTCTTGACAATCCAATTGGAACTGGATTCAGTATAGCTGCGAAGCCAGAAGAGATCCCAAGAGACCAGCTTTCAGTTGCCAGAGACCTCTTTGTTGCAATTACCAAGTTTATTGAGCTGGACCCTGTGTTTAAGTCACGGCCTCTTTACATAACTGGTGAGAGCTATGCAGGCAAGTATGTTCCGGCTATTGGATACTACATTTTGAAGAGGAATGCTGAGTTGGCAGCTGGGTCCCAAGGTGTGAATTTACGTGGGGTTGCTATTGGGGATGGGCTCACAGACCCAGAGATTCAGGTGGCTACCCATGCTGTGAATGCTTACTTCTCTGGTTTGATCAATGAGAGGCAGATGAGTGAGTTGGAGAAGCTTCAGGTGGAAGCAGTTGGGTTCACTAAAGCAGGCAATTGGAGTGAGGCCACAGATGCAAGAAACAGAATCTTGAATTTGTTGCAAAACATGACTGGGTTGGCGACTCTGTATGATTACACAAAGACCGTTCCTTACAAAACCAGTTTGGTTGAGGATTTTTTGAGGCATGAGGAGGTGAAGAGGGCTTTGGGGGTTAATGGGTCGTTGGTTTTTGAGGAATGCAGTGATTTGGTGGGGGAGATTTTGAATGAAGATGTGATGAAGAGTGTGAAATACATGGTGGAATATTTGGTGAAGAAGAGCAAGGTCTTGTTGTACCAAGGGCAGTTTGATTTGAGAGACGGTGTGGTTTCCACCGAGGGTTGGGTCAAGACCATAAAATGGGAGGGGATTGACAAGTTTCTGTCAGCGGAACGGGAAGTTTGGAAGGTGGGTGGCGAGGTTGCTGGGTATGTTCAGAAATGGGGGAGCTTGAGCCATGTTTTGGTTTCAGGGGCTGGTCATCTTTTGCCTGCTGACCAGCCATTGAGAGCTCAAGCAATGATAGAAGATTGGGTTTTGGACAAAGGGTTGTTTGGCAATGCGAGGGAAGTTAATTTGTCATCAAATTTCGACATGTAAAGTCGCTCCTTTTATCGTTTTACTGTTGTATTACTTCTCTCGATGAAGATGATTCTTTTAGGGGAAGCGTTCAGGTTTAAGCTACAATGAATAAATTCCTAAACCATTTTTAGGATTCGTTCTGCAAAATGTGATTTATTGGAATATGAAAGTCTCCAGCAGCCAAAATTATTAGGCAGTCGTGCCAAAAGGTGTTTAATTTGCTCTCCATTTCTCACTCTATATTTCATGATTATGATTATGAAAACACAAAACAATTCTCAGGCAACAATTTGACTAACATAGTATACTTGTTATATAATAAAGAAAAAAAAGAGAGAGAGACTTATGAAATGGTTGGGGAAAATGTAATGGCTATTGGAGGCGGGTTTGTGAGGAGAAAATGGGAGGGTGAAAGGAACCTTGGGGCTCATTTGGGTCAAGACCCTCTTAAGTAACCAAAGTTCCAAACTTCACAACAACCCATCAAGCACATAACCCGTACTATGATGCCATTGTCTCCCACAGTATAATAATCTGTGCAAGACTTGATGTACAGGGCTTCAATGGCAGGGGACCCTGTAGAAAACCTACAAGTAGATCAGAGCCACTGATTCATATGCTTGAAAACAAGCACATTGCTGCTCTGCCCTTTGCCTCAGCCCTTGCTATATTGAAATTGTTCCGATCTGGGAACTGGGGAAAGTGAGAAAATTGCGAGAAGGAAGATATGAACTAAACCTAAATGTTGCCAACGCGCTGCGACCTCCCCGTCGAAACCCTAATTAAGCAATTGAAGCATATCAGCGTATTTATAATCACCCAAAAGGGCCAAAGATTATGACTGGCGAAGTTGGATTGGGCCCAACCCAAAAACCTAGATTCGATCGGGCCAGAGTACTGTCTCTCAAACTGGGCCCAATAAAAGCCAATTGGACCTGTTCGCGAACCATACTGAAAATAGTGATTTTTTTTTTTTTGGTAAATGAAAATAGTTTCCTTCAAATAATATTCTTGAAAATAATTAGTAGATTTGTTTAGGAAATAATTTTTTCACTTCAAAAAAGAAAAATAAAAGAGTTTATGTTTTTTAATTTTAGAAACAAGCGTATATTTTTATTTTGATTGAAAATAGTAAAAGAAATTGAATATTTGGATATGATATTGGTTTATTGGTGGATATTGAGGAAAGAATTTTAAAAGAAAAAGAATATCCCGGACATAGGAACGAGGGATATTTAGACGACAAAGAACGAAAAAGAAAAAAGAAAAAGGAACAGACTTTGTCACTGAAGCTCTTCGAACGGTTCTGGGTTATTGATTTTCAGGGCTCTGTTTGAAGCATTGGTCAATAGGTACGTTGCCAACTTCCCTTTCTGCATCGTATAAAATAGACGCTACGATTTCTCCATTTCATGCGCTTACTACCAGTTCCAAGATATATTCTGAATGTATTTTTTAAAAATATTAAGAAACGGGGGGTGGTTCAAATGAGCTAGATTAATGGCTAGGTTTACTTTTCGCTACTGCTTGTTAAGAGTTCGGTTTCTTTGAATTAACCTTTGGGCTCGCCTGTAGCATTCTTATTGATATTCGCCATTTCATTGCTCTGAGTAGCCGGTGCATTAATTTTTAGAAAGTCTGACACTTTTTAATCTTTTGTTGTATATGTTTTCTCAACCTTGTGCAGGTTTGATGTTTTTCTCTGTTTAGGCATGTCCAGTTCATGCAGTAAGTTTGTTGCACATGGCAGTGGCAGTTTCAGTTGTGCAATCAGTACGTACTTAACTTCCTCTTCTTCTTTTTTCACACATCTTTGATTATCGGCCGAACCAGCCTTAAGTTTATGCTAACTTTCAATTTAAAAGGGGTAATATATGTTATAGTTACTTACACCAATGGACAGCCCACCTTTCATTATTGAGTCGTTTTGGACTTTCTCAGATGTTTAATATGATATACGATTTAAATTTTTAAATTTAATTTTGATGGTTAATGTTTTTGAAGTTTCCCATACAATATATATACACTAAACACCAACTTTAAGTTTGGAACTTCCAATAGAGTTTTTTTCTCTATTGTGCCGTGTCAGAGTTGAGAATTCACATAAAACTTTTAATAAGTTTCTGGACTTATTATTAGGAAAAGAAAATAACTACAATATACTTCTTTTTAATATAAAACATCATAAAATTTTCAGCAGTACCCGAGATTTAAGAGAGAGTTGCAGAGTACCAATGCATAAAGTCGGAAAAATGGCTAAGGCAAACAAAATGCCTGCAGTTTTAGGCTTAAAAAATGGGATAATATGCTAGTGTCTATGTGCAATGAGATGGAGTTTGAGTAGGAAAAGAGAGTAAGCATATGTGGTTGAGAGTGATTGGAAATTGGAAACTAATATTTTATTAAAACTATTTAAAACCATCGGGGTATAGTCTACTTTTTTTATATGATGATCTCCAAAGAGAGTTCTCTTTATAATATAGATATGTATGATGTACTGTTTAACCCTTACATATGAGCTTAGTAATACACCAACAATGCAGTTTCCATCTCAGTGTTTCAGTGGGAATGGATTGAGAAGTGCAATAGCTTTTGAAGCAGAGAAGGGATATCGGAATGCTTTGGGTAGAAGAATGAGGTCTGTAGATTATTTGCAATTTGATTTGATCTGAAAGTATGGTAATTAATAATGTTTGCATGGCTATTTCAAATTGCAGGTTCAGTAATTTTGTCTTTTCCAAAATATCAAAATTATGTTTTCGATCAAAGCATACTTTTGTTAAAGATGTTTTGAAGGAAGTAGATAGTTATGGCATAGCAAGCATCTCTGATCAGTCAAAGTTGCTCAATAAGGTAGATTTGTTTATATACAAGTTTGATATTGGTTAATTCAGCAAAAAAAGAATTATTAGTGGTATTGTTTGTTGTTTGATTGCTGTAACTTTATCTAATGTGCATGTACTCTGACAAATGGAATGTGTTGTTGCCTTTCTAAAATCTAGTCTTCATATTTTGCTGTGTCATTTTCTTTTAGGTTTCTGTTTTGATGGGGTACGATAGTCTTCATAATTTGATTGAGAATGAAAGAGCTGAAAAGCAGTCTGGTACGTATGTTAAAGATGCAGAGAATGAGTTTGATGTTTCCTTGGCATGTAGAAGATTTCCGTCGATCATTTTGAGCAGTTCCCCTCGGGTAGAGTTGTATGATGGAACCACAAGTTTCACTGAAAGGATGCTTTTAGAAACTCAAAGTTGTGAAGGATTTCTGTCTGATACTATGGGTGAAGTGCAGGTGCGAGATTATCTCTATGAAATATGGAATTCTCTGTATCCTGCTTGTACTAGTGTCAAAATTCCTTATTAAAAGAAGATTCTTAAACGTTGTCCTTATCTCTGCAGTCCACGACTTTGGTTCCTGTTAAAAAATCATATCAACCGGTTCCTACGGAGGAATCTTCTAAGAAAGTTTCACTTGAATCGCAAAAGGATGCTGTGTCAGTTCAGTTGTCCCTGGACAGTTCTATCAGTTGCATACATGGAATAAGTAAAAAGCGTTGTCATCAGCTAGAAAACTGTGGCTTTCATACAGTGGGTTTCTGAAATTATGTTAAAGGAAACATTTCCCTTATTATCGGGAATTTGAAAGAAGCCATGGGTTTACTTTCTTTCTTCTGTTTCCATACAGTTGCGGAAATTGCTTCACCACTTTCCTCGGACATATGCTGATTTACAGAATGCTCAGATTAAAATTGATGACGGGCAATACTTGATTTTCATTGGGAAGGTATTAAATTCGAGGTATTAAAATTTTCCCAAATTTCTTGTAAATTATTATTCACCAATAAAAATAAATCCTAATTAGTTTTCTTGCTAAGATTTATAAGTGGTCAGAGACTCAGAATTTTCTTGCTTGGTCTTTGAAAGAATTTGTTTAGTGATTTAAGTGTCGTAAGGCACTCTGGGTGCTCACCTTAGCAATCGGATGAAGTTAGGCTAATCTGACAAACTCCAAGTCAGCTGACTTATTAAGGTGCTTACTTTGGTTCCTAGTGATATTATGAGAAATTAAGATGTTTCGAAAAACAATGAAAGCCTAACTAGCTGACAGAAACCGTGATGTTCTGACACATGAAATGATGTTAAATGTGAATCTGTGTCTATATGACATAAATGGATATCTAATTTCATTGACATAGTGAATAACTTCTTCTTCTTTTTTCTGTGAACATTTCATGGCATACTTGTGTTGAAATTAGATAAATGGATTTCTAATTTCATGGCATACTATTTGCCAGTGCTGTGCCTTTGTAACTCATCTGTGATAATGCATCTGCAGAGATGTTACATACATGTATATGTATTTGTATTCACTTATTCATTCACTTTAAGCTGCTAATCTGCTGCTGTTCAAATGCTTGGGTATTAAGAATCTGTTTTGATATCTATATGTTACCTCTTTTCTTACAGGGGAATCAAAGCTAGTAGTACTTTCTCAATTTTTGAGGTGGTTGTGGGTTGTGAAATTACTGACAATGAATCAACTGAGCATATGAATGATTTTGGTGACAGTAAAAGAAAGAAGACAATTTATTTGCATCTGAAGAAATTTTTCCGTGGTACTCGTTTTACTTCTGTACCTTTTCTTAGAATTGTTGAGGACAAGCATAAAGAGGGGGACTTTGTATGCGTTAGTGGCAAGGTAAGTTTTACCTTGGCTTTCTGTCTTGTTTAATTATGTGCTTGCACTTCAATGTGTTTTTGTTGGTATCGTGTTCAGTATTCTTGTGTTATTATTATGGATTGATACCTGGTACTCGAAAATATAGTCAATTACAGGAAGAATATAGTTCAGAGAGTAATATTTCTTTTTCTGTCTCACACCTATAAGACTGTAGCCTACTACTTCGAGCCGGTTCTTACTGGATGGAAGTAGACCGAATCTAAGTGCAACTCTCCTGTTGATGCCGTTCCTTGTTATTTATAATATACAGGAAAAGTTAAAAGGAGGCATCAGCCAGCACATTGCTCCATTTGTTGATTGCTTTTTGGATTGTTGTAATGCTATCAGAAATTAGGTAGTCCTGCTCGTGCATATTAACTACCTTTAAGACCTTTTGACTAGTTAATGGTCACTCGTTGGTTAGTGCCCTAGGCAGCACTTTTAGCTACAATGGATGTGCCGTTGCATAAATTGGCTCACCTTTTCATGTACTGAAAACTATTAAGGACTAAAGCAGTAGTGGTGTAGGATATGGGTGAACTGAGAATTTAGGTAGTTTAGCGGAAGCGAAACAATGGAAAAACAGAAAATAGAACAAACAAGGATAGGTCTGGAATCACTCCAGGGGTTTTGGCTTCACACCAAGGAGTCTCCAATCTCTGGAAAATAAACTTTACTCAATATCTCAAATCTCAACTCCCATAATGAATTACATAGCAGGTGTATTTATAATAATCTAACCCTAGAGTGAAAAGGAAAATTAAGCTTATTCTAGGAAAAGAAATCCTAATCCAAATAAAATAAGAAACTTGGAAATCTGTAAAAACTAGAAATCCTAATGAAATCTGGAAAACTTAGAGAACCTAGAAAACTAACAAATAAATTAGGAAACTAATTAATAATTTCCTCTTCCATCTCTTTTGTTTGCAAGCCCTAATGGGTTTGACAAAGATGTCCTCATCAAGTAGGACTTTCTTTATATGAAATGTAGTACAATTGTGTTAAAGATATTATTTCTTCATTTTTTTTAATCTTAATTTGGAG